ATTCCCTACTCTCATCTTCCTTCCTCGCGCTCTCTCTCCTTCCTCCTTTTCCTTTCTCCTCCCTCTCTCATCCTCTTTCCTCCTCCTTCCTACCTCTCCCTCTTTTCCTCCCTTTTCCCTCTCTCATTCTACTTCCCTATTGCCTATCTCCCCACTTTCCCCCAACCCTTCATTCACCTCTCTCTCTCTCCCTCCTATCGCCCTCCTTCCTTCTCCATTTCATTCCCCATCTCCCCACTTCCCCACTCTCCCTCCTCCATCCCCCTCTCCTTCCCCCTCCCTCTCTCTCCCTTCCTCTTCTCCTCTTCTTCCCCCTCCCTCTTCCTCCTTCCTCTCTCTCCCTTACTCTTTCCTCTCCCCTTCCTTCTCCCTCTCTCCCTCTTTCTCCTTCCTCTCCCCATCCTCCTCCCTCTTCCTCTTCCTCCTTCCTCTTCTCCTCTCCTTCCCCCTCCCTCTTCCTCCTTCCTCTCTCTCCCTTCCTCTTCTCCTCTCCTCCCCCCTCCCTATTCCTCTTCCTCCTCCCTCTTCCCCCTTCCTCTCTCTCCCTTACTCCTTCCATCTCCTTCCCCTCCCTCTTCCTCCCTCCTCCCTCCTTCCTCCTTCCTCCTTCTTCCTCCCTCCTCCCTCCTCCCTCCTTCCTCCTTCCTCCTTCCTCCTTCCTCCTTCCTCCTTCCTCCTCCCTCACCTGATGAGGATCTTCGGCCTTACTCGAAACGTTACGTCTTACTCTTCCTTTCGTACTGTAGCTGTAATTGATTTCATTAAACCGTTATGTTCTTTTTTTTTTTTTTTTTTGTTTATAAACCCATATTTACATAATATGGGAGAGGATTTCATGAGGAAATTAAGTTTATTTTTTTTAGATTAAACCGATTGCGTTATATACGATCCCGAACTCGTTTTTTAAAATTCACGCTATGTTTACGTTCTGGCTTTCTCTCTACACCTACACAAAGCAAGCACATTTTCCGACGAATTTTTTTATCTTCATTATTGTTATCATCATCGACAGCAACATAGAATTAGTTTCTCTTCTTTCCAACAGAGAGCACGCGATAAAGAGATCTGTCTTCCATCTTCTGATTGAAAGAGAGAAGAAAAAAAACGTTTCACAGCTCGTACCGACAAAAACATTTTTTTTTCTAAATATCTTATATGAATAAATTTAATAAAGATAACTAACAAAATTTATAATAACAAGATACTGAAAAAAAAACATAAAAATAACTTAATACAGACAGACAAATAAAATTTTCCAACACGAAATTACAAAAAAAAAAACTATTTGATATTTTTTCTCCCCATAAAACACCCTAAAAACTTACTACTAAATATACGAAAAATATGAATAAACTATCCTATTTCGAAAAAAAACTGCTAGGTAAAAATACATGAATAAATCATCCTATATCGAAAGTAGAAAAACTCCTTCCACAAAAAAAAAAGAGACAGAGAAGACAAAAGAAACTACAAACTACAAGTCCTATAAAGCAATTTGCATTTACGAAACCCACAGAAAGCCGCACACACGCACGCACATACACACACACACACACACACACACACACACACACACACACACACACACACACACACACACACACACACACACACACACACACACACACACACACATACACACACACACACATACACACACACACACACATACACACACACACACACACACACACACACACACACACACACACACACACACACACGATCACGCACAGTAACTCGCACATAAACACTTATTACAAACGAAAAGGGACTAACTAGACCTTTTTCGTTTTTTTGTTTTCAAAATCTCAGACGGTGTACTACGCACAAAACTCACTATATATATATATATATATATATATATATATATATATATATATATATATATATATATATATTATATATATATATATATATATATATATATAAAAACACTAAATAGAATATCGTAAAACGAAACTATAAAAAGAAAATTCCTTTCATAAAATACAAATGAAGCTTCGACATAATTCAAAAGAAATAACATAAAAAATGTAATTTCATTCCAAGCAAATCGTGAAAAAAACTACTTAAAATTTGCATGAACGGACAAGAATGTGATTTCCATCCACGTAAACGGCAGCAAGCAAAAAATAAAATAAGCTAAAATAATAATAATAATAATAATAATAATAATAATAATTAGGTAAACAAAAAAATAAAACTAATAACTAACCTTAACACACAAACAACTCAAACACCCTCCCCTCAGCCCCACTACCCCATCCCCCTCCCCCCTCCCCCGAAGTAAAGAGCCAGCACTCCCCCCTCCCCCTCCCCCCTGCCCCGAAGTAAAGAGCCAGCACTCCCCCCTCCCCCTCCCCCCCTGCCCCGAAGTAAAGAGCCAGCACTCACCCCTCCCCCTCCCCCCCTCCCCCCTGCCCCGAAGTAAAGAGCCAGCACTCCCCCCTCCCCCTCCCCCCTGCCCCGAACTAAAGAGGCAGCACTCCCCCCTCCCCCTCCCCCCTGCCCCGAACTAAAGAGGCAGCACTCCCCCCTCCCCCTCCCCCCCTGCCCCGAACTAAAGAGGCAGCACTCACCCCTCCCCCTCCCCCTCCCCCCTGCCCCGAAGTAAAGAGCCAGCACTCCCCCCTCCCCCCCCCTGCCCCGAAGTAAAGAGGCAGCACTCACCCCTCCCCGACGGGCGCCTTCCACTGCACGGCGAAGGAGAAGGGCGTGAGGGAGCGCAGGTCGAAGGCGACGTCGCGCGGCGGGAGGGGCAGCGTGCGGTACTCGGCCGTCGTAGGCTCCGAGATCTGGTCGCCGCTCACCGTCTCCACCGTGATGTTGTAGGCGCGGCCTGTGGGGGGGAGGGAGGGGGGGGAGGGAGAGAGGAGGTAGGTCATTAGAGAGACATTAACATAGAAGTGTGAAGAGATAGTTTTAACATATATATCTGTATGTATATCTGCATTTTTGTATATATATAAAGAAGCATATTCTTACGTACATGCAAACACCGCCCCCTCCATCCCTCCCTTTCCCCATCAGGAGGAGTCTCCGGGCGCCACTCACCTGGCACAAGGCCGTAGAAGGCAGCCTCCGCCGGGCCCGCCGGGTCGCCCTTCTTCGGGACGTTGCGCACGCTCTCCACGGCGTCGGGGGGGTCGATGCTCGCCTGCGGGGGAGGGGGGGAGGTCAGTCAGATGGCTGCAGTTTCATTTTTTTTTCTTTCTGTCTTTTTTTTCATTTTTGTCTTTTTCATACTTTTTCCTTTTTTTTCTTTCTTTTTTTAGGATTAGTTTCACAAGTTTTTTAAAGTGATTTTTTTTTATTTATTTACTTGCATTTCTGTGTGGCTCTGTTATACCTTTATCATTTCCACAGAACTAAACACACATTCATATTCTTTAAAGGGATCTATGAATGCACTTAATATAACCAATAATAAATCGACATAAGCTGATTGTTAGACACATTTAAAATCTGGAAAAGAGGATACAACAGCCCTTAATATTTACGATACAAAGGATTATGAACGGAAATAAATCATCTTAAACTACAGGCCCTGCATCTACATCTTCCACCTCGTCTCCAGGTGGATTTCGAAGCCTCCGCAGACGTCACTCTACTAACAAACAAACAAACTAAAACAAGATCTTCAAACACAAATACAACTCTTATCAACCCCACACACTCACACCTCACCCCACCCCCACCCCCACCCCACACCCCCACACAAGAGCCCCCACCGCCAATTCTTTCCGGATTTCGCCAGTCGGCCTCGCAAGCGGAAATCAGCTGATCCTTGACTTTTAGACTCGATGCCTCGCTCTCGTGTTCCCAGCCGGCGGTCGGGGAGCTTAAGCAGGCCCTCGTGTGCGTGTGCGTGTGCGTGTGTGTGTGTGTGTGTGTGTGTGTGTGTGTGTGTGTGTGTGTGTGTGTGTGTGTGTGTGTGTGTGTGTGTGTGTGTGTGTGTGTGTGTGTGTGTGTGTGTGTGTGTGTGTGTGTGTGTCTGTGTGTCTGTGTGTGTTCAACATTCCTTGTCACTCTCCTTACTCAAAATCACGAGCCATTATTAATTTCAGTGATACCAAATCATTATCATAGTTATCATTCTCATCACGATTATCATCATCATTATTCTCATGATCATCATCATTATCATTATTATTAATTTTATAATTATGATCATTAATGTTATTATTACAACCTTTATTATCATTATCACCATCTTTATCATTATTATCGTCATCATCATCCCAATTTTTATTATTATTATTATTATTATTATTATTATCATCATCATTATCATTATTATTATTATTATTACTATTTCATCATCATCACTGCCATCATTATCCTCACCTTCCTCATATTTTCTCTACCCCCTTGAAACCCGGGGGGAGGGAGGGAGGGAGGGGGGAGGGGGAAGGGGGAGGCGTGCCCCTTCCTCGTTGCAAATCACTTGCAAAGGCCAACGAGGTCGCTCTCGTCCTTCGCAAAAAAGTGTCTTCGTTGCATGCCCCTGTTGCATAAGCTGCCGAGCCTGATTATCATAAGTAAAGCTGGACAGAGAGTGAGAGAGAGAGTGAGAGAGGCAGGGACAAGGAATGAAGGACGGAAGGAAGGAAGGAAGGAGAAGGAGGAGGAGGAGGAGGAGGAGAAGGAGAAGGAGTGGGAGAGGGATGAGAGGAAGGGCAGGAGGGAGGGAGGGAGAGGGGGAGGGAGGGAAGGAGGGAGAGGGACAGGGAGGAGAGGGGGGAGATGAAGATGGAAGGGGAGAAAAAAGAGTGAGAGAGAGAGAGAGAGAGAGAGAGAGAGAGAGAGAGAGAGAGAGAGAGAGAGAGAGAGAGAGAGAGAGAGAGAGAGAGAGAGAGAGAGAGAGGAGAGAGAGAGAGAGAGAGAGAGAGAGAGAGAGAGAGAGAGAGAGAGAGAGAGAGAGAGAGAGAGAGAGAGAGAGAGAGAGAGAGAGAGAGAGAGAGAGAGAGAGAGAGAGAGAGAGAGAGAGAGAGAGAGAGAGAGAGAGAGAGAGAGAGAGAGAGAGAGAGAGAGAGAGAGAGAGAGAGAGAGAGAGAGAGAGAGAGAGAGAGAGAGAGAGAGAGAGAGAGAGAGAAAGAGAAAGAGAAAGAGAAAGAGAAAGAGAAAGAGAAAGAGAAAGAGAAAGAGAGAGAAAGAGAGAGAGAGAGAGGGAGAGAGAGAGAAATAGAGAGAAAAAGAGAGAGAGAAACTGCTAGCCAGAGAGAGCGCGCGAGAGAAAATACCTGCGTGCGAACGTGCGGTACCGATAGCCCTTTCGCGTGACCACAAACATGCTCCTCGTAAACAAATCAACCAGAGTGATCACTGTTACGAACGACCGATGGCGCAAATACAATATTTTTTCCCTTCTCGTATATTTTTTTCTCTTTTCCTTCCTTCGTTTTTTTTTTCTTTTGTGGGTTTTGCATTAAATAAACCCGCGTGATATCGATAATAAGAAAACGAAATAATGATATTGAATTAACGAATAACGTTCCTATTGGGTTTAATGCACATCGGGATCAATAAACCCCGCCCCCTACAAAAAGAAAAAAAAGCAAGATAGAAAAATCATGTATCATAAAAATGACCACGAGAGAGAAGGTGGCCGCCGGAGACATGCCAAAAAGGCGGGAAATTTTGGGTTTCTCATTTGTTCGTTTTCGTCTCGATAAAAGCGAGAAAGAGGAAGCTCACCGGTGTGATGCGGAGACATAGACACCGCAGACAAACAGACAGACAGACAGATAGACAGACATGCAGGCAGATAGACACACACACACACACACACACACACACACACACACACACATAGGCACTTCCTCCCTCTAACCCCCTCTCCCCTAGCCTCCCCCCCTCCCCCCACGCCCTCCCTCGCCCGCCCCTGGAGCAGCCCAAGTATTGCCATCCCGCCGCGGCAGGCATTCCCGAGGGAGGAGGGCGCCGGACGAAGTATGTGCCGGAGAGACGGACGCCCTTCGTCTCGGCGGAGTCTGGCAGAAGGGCGGGGCCGATCCAGGGGTGATATGGGCGGGGGATGTGAGATCGTGGTCAGGGTTTTTTTTTTAAGAAAATGGAGGCATGTGTATGTGTTGAAGTTTCTTTAGGTTTTAATCTTTTTTTTTTTTTGGGGGGGGGGAGGGCCTCTCTGTCTGTCTCTGTCTGTCTCTGTCTGTCTCTGTCTGCTCTCTCTCTCTCTCTCTTCTCTCTCCTCTCTCTCTCTCCTCTCTCTCTCTCTCTCTCTCCTCTCTCTCTCTCTCTTCTCTCTCTTTCTCTCTCTTCTCTCTCCCTCTCTTCTCTCTCTCTCTCTTCTCTCTCCCTCTCTTCTCTCTCCCTCTCTTTCCTCTCTCTCTCTCTCTCTCTCTTCTCTCTCCTCTCTCTTCTCTCTCTCCATCTCTCCCTCCCTCCCTCCCTCCACCCCCCCCCTCTCTCTCTCTCTCTCTCTCTCTCTCTCTCTCTCTTCTCTCTCTCTCTCTTCTCTCTCTCTCTCTCCTCTCTCTCTCTCTCTCTTCTCTCTCTCTCTCTCTCTCTCTCTCTCTCTCTCTCTCTCTCCCTCTCCGCCTCTCCCGTCTCCATGCTCTACCTCCTCTTAAGAAAACGTTACATAAATTGCCTCTCCTCGTCTTTCGTAAACTGCGTAACACCCGGACGCTTCCGAGCGCAGAATTACGCAAAAGTGATGGCCATTTAGATGCACCAAGTACCCGAATCTGCCTGATTATCCGCAATTACCCCGCTAATTACGGCCAGCCAATGAGTCACCGCCGCACTAATTGTCCGCGTGCGGTCGCCTCTTCTTTGTCAACCCCTTTGCTTCCTTAACAACTTCCTTTCTTCGCCCGCCTGCGGTTGGCCTCGCCGCTCCGAGATCTTGCTTTAATTGCGAAGTTCGGGCCGCTCGCCGTGCAAGGCTCGCCCGCCTTTGTCCGCGAGGAATATCCTGCTCAGGGCGACGTGGTCTGCTACTCGGCCTTTCCTCTTCGCTGAGTCTGAATGAGGGATAGAGGAGAGACGAGAGAGGGAGAGGGGAGAGAGGGGAGAGGAGAGAGGGAGAGAGGGAGAGAGGGTCTCAGAGTGGTCAGAAGCCTTCATTGTCTCGCCCTCCAACGAGTAGGGGTGACCAATGGTGCGGCACCGCCGCCGGACTGACCTAAGCCACGCCCACATCCCTCTTGACCTTTGCCTGCAACCTTGACCAGGACAATCACTCTTCCTCGAGTCACGCTCCCGTTCGGATGCGGCCTCCTCCTGGGGGGTCACCCTCCAGGGCCCCCACCTCGCCGGGCCTATTCGCTGCCGGCTGCGCTACCGACACCAAGCACGACCAACAACAAAGAATGAGACCAGGCCGTGAGTTTCCGGCGACCAAAACCCTGACATATTGATGGACAGCAGTGACAACAAGCACCTCACATACGGGAGAGAGAGAGAGAATTCTGAAAGATCATCTCATAACGCGTAATAATCTATTGATAAGTGATAAGTCATCAGTACGCG